CAGCAGCAGGGGAGTCACCACGGCCACCTCGACAGCTTCGCTCCGTTGGACGGCGCGGCGCCGGAAGACCAGCAGCACGCCGGCGGGGCCGAGATGGTCGACTACATGCTTGGCCACCACGCGCACGCGCCGTCCGCACCAGCACCACCACCGCAGCCGACTCAGAGTCAGCAGGCGGTGTCGTTCGACAAGCTCAGCTTCTCCGACGTGCTGCAGTTCGCCGACTTCGGCCCCAAGCTCGCGCTCAACCAGCCCGCCGCCGCGTCGGCCGGCCAGGAGCCGGGCGGCGAGGACGCGGACGACGTCGACGACGACGACGGATACTTCTTCAGGTTCCAGTCGCTGCCAGCGACCCTCCCGCAGCCGCAGCACCACGCGGACCGTGAGGCGGCGGGCAGCAAGACGACGGCCGAGGACGGTGGAGCCGGCGGCGGCGTCTCCGAGAGCACCACGCTGGTTCAGCAGGGCGACGGCAGTGGCCGCGCGGACAAGGCCGGGGACCAGGGGAAGAGCGGCCGCCGGAAGCGCCCGCGGACGGTGAAGACCAGCGAGGAGGTGGAGAGCCAGCGCATGACGCACATCGCCGTCGAGCGCAACCGCCGGCGCCAGATGAACGAGTACCTCAGGATCCTCAGGTCACTCATGCCAGGATCCTACGTCCAGAGGGTACGTTCACTCAGACCCTGCAGATGATTTTTTACACACTCTTCTTTGCTGCAATTGCACTCACATTTCAGTCTTATATCATTTAATTAGACGAAAGTAACTTCAATTAATTTTTTCCCATTGATTAAATATCTCTAGCTACACATCAACAAAGCACGACCATTTTGTATTTTATTAGTGGAAATTAATAATGGTCACCTCATCTTACACAATCCTCCAACATCGATGGTTTCAACAAAATTGAGGGCCCCCTTTGAGAAAATTTCTTGAATCTTCTTTGAATTGGACTCTTTCATGTGAAATTCTTGCATTCCAAAGCGAGTCCTTAAGGAACTAGGGGAGCAACACTAATCTAAGTGGCATGCCTCCTATACTCCATATGCGTGAAATTGGCAAGATTCTAGGCATTCGAATGTGAATAAAGTGTGAATCATGCACGTTTGACTGCACTGGTTGTCATCGCCATCACCGCACCATGTCACAATTGTAGCGATGTTAGGGCTTCGGTTTTAGGGTTTTGGGTTACCATGGATGGACATGCATTGGTGAATTTAGGAAGGGGGTAGTGGTTGGGAGGCGGCTAGGCCAGGAGGACTAAGGTGGGGTGCAGGGGTGGAAGCAGGTGTGGGAAACAACGGTGGATACAACGAACTAGAGTGATTAGGGTTTGGTGGTGTGTTCCTGTTTTAGGGACGTCGCTCAAGATGGACAAAGGGAAGGTAGGAGACAAGAGTGAACTCACTTGAAGCAAGTGAGACCATGGTGAGGCAAGTCAGACTACCACATGGGTTGAGGCAAGAGTGCTTATAATTTAGCACCTCCATGTGAGTATAGGGCAACAAGGGTCAATATATATAGGCCATATGGGTTGAGATCGATATTGTCTATACCGCCTTCATTTAGGAAAACTAGGACAAATGTGAGCTCAGCCTTAATTTTGCATTGCTAGGCCAGGTTGTTTCATTGTTTCCTACAAAATTTGAAAAACTTGGGCTTGGATAGGCTAGGGATGGTAATGCACAGGTAATGGCAGGTTTAGGTACGTAGGTGGACCCTTCATTTCAAAATGTAAGTCTACATAGTTTTCTTTTTAAGTTAAACTTCTATAACTTTAATTAAACTTCTATACCAAATTAATAAATACACTATCAAGACATCACGATGGATTCAGTGAAACTAATTAAGCTAATGGTGTATATGTTTATGGGTCTTTCTATTCTACTTACTTGGTCGAAATTAGAGGGAGCATGAACTTGGTTAGAGTCTTGAGACCCGAGACACTTTAGGTTTGTCAATCAAGTGTCGTACACACCATGTTTTATTTCTTTGTAACGACCTACCTACAATAAAAAAATGTGAATGTAATAGAATGAGCAAGTAAGAAATTGTTGTTGCTAACTACTCCCGTTTAAAACAATGCTCCTCTCAATTCCAAATTATAAGATGTTTTAATTTTTTCTAGATATATATCTTTTGCTATGCACTTAGATATACACTATATCTGGATACATAGTAAAAACAATGTATCCAAAAAAACCAAAACGTCTTATAATTTGAAACGGGAGAAGCACTTGACGATGTTGGTTAGTAATGGTCTTTGAGATGCAACTTGTGTAATAAATAAATGAGATTATGATCAAGGCAAATCTAAACATATTGATCTTTTTAAGATTTCAGAAAAGCAAATTACTATCAAAGTTTATTTTTAAAAAGTTGACTAGACTTAGGTTAAGGGGTATATATCTACTTCCTCTGTTTCAAATTGTAGATCGTTTTATTAGCTTTTCTTGTTTTCATAGCTTTTACTATGTATCAAAACATAGTGTATGTTTAGGTGTATATCGAAAGCTATGTACCTAAAAAAAGCTAACACAACTTACAACTTGGAATGGAACGGAGGTAGTATAATCAAATGGAGTACCACCAAGGTTACACGGGCGTATAAAACACAAACCGCATAAGTGTTAGGTTACTACAAGCAGCCACGAGAAATAGTAGAGAAGTGTTATGTGAACAATTATGAAACATGTTCCGTATCAATACATGTGGATTAGTTAGAAAATGAACTAATTCCCTCTCCACTCTCTCAAAAGTTATATAGGATTGGAGCAGTGTCTTATAGCCAGGATTTTAGACTGGGGTGGTGCAACTTAACATAAAAGGAATCTCGCAAAAAAAAAAAACTTAACATAAAAGGAAATAATGCTACAAACACAACATGATGCCAGTATATATAAATATAGAATTATATCCAAATACAACATGATCAAAATTAATATGTTTTACCGACATTAAAACGAACAAGCCTGGAATTTGTGTCGCTAAATTGTCTCAATTCATATGCGGTACTGAAATCCTAAGCTCGAACTGAAACTGAAGCTAAATCAAATCTTCAGCCTACATAAATACCTTATGCACTAAACTTGAACTCTGCTGTGTAGACTGCATTCTACATACAGTTCTGTGAATGTCGGCAATGGCGCACATGCAGAACCTGTGTGCACTTCTCTTGTCTCTGGATGAAGCAAAATAGATAATTTTCAGCTAATAATAGTGGTCACTTGGAAAAAGAAAATACACAGGCACGCTGTAACTGACTGACACGTGACACGTATGCTGAGTGCAGGGAGACCAAGCATCGATCATAGGAGGCGCCATCGAGTTCATCAGGGAGCTAGAGCATCTGATCCAGTGCCTGGAGTCGCAGAAGCGGCGGCGCCTGTACGGCGGGTCCGGCGACGCGCCACGGCCACCGCCGGTGGTGGACGCAGCAGGGCCCGGCGGCGCGCCAATTACGTCCACTACTCAGCCACAGGTGCCCCCGCCGCCGCCGTTCTTCCCTCCGAGCCACCCTTTCCCGGTGGCGTCTGGTGGCGGCGACGCCAAGATAATACTGGACCTGGAAGCGGCAGGAGGCGCCGTCGTCGACGCCGGCGGCGGGCTCCGGGAGGAGGTGGCCGACAACAAGTCGTGCCTGGCGGACATCGAGGTGCGCGCGCTGGGCGCCGACGCCATGATCAAGATCCTGTCCCGCCGCCGGCCAGGCCAGCTGATCAAGACCATCGCCGCGCTGGAGGACATGCAGATGTCCATCCTGCACACCAACATCACCACCATCGAGCAGACCGTCCTCTACTCCTTCAACGTAAAGGTAATAAAGATATATATTTCTTCAGCTTCATCAGGATTGAAATTGAATAAGTCGCTGCGATGTGATAGATCGTCGGCGAGGCAAGATACTCGGCGGAGGACATCGCCGGCGCCGTGCACCAGATCCTCAGCTTCATCGACGTCAACTACACCCTGTGATCTTCTCTTGCAGCCTCTGTGCCAAACTGCCAACTGCCAAGACAGGGGGGCAAGTATCCGGTCAACGTTGGCAGCGACTTGTGTATTTAAATTTCTAAGTGCTATTTCCCCCACGTTCTATATGTGCTTGATTGTTACATATTTAATTTTATGTATGTATGTTTTGTCCGTTTCTATGTACGTAAAACTGATTGATTGAAGGACAAGTAAAAGATTAGCACTAGTAGTATTATACTCAGGGACAATATATATATATATATATATATATATATATATATATATATATATATATATATATATATATATATATATATATATATATATATATATATATATATATATATATATATATATATATATATATATATATATATATATGATTGCAGTGTGCTGCAACTGTCAGCTAATCAAACAAGAGAGGTGCATGATGCCTTCTACTTCACATGTCTCATGGGCCACTGCTCCTTTCAATCTTTTCCTGTAATCAGTGCTTTACCTTGGTGTCGCTGACTCTGTTATGGGTACCAACAACAATTGTTGGATGATTGCAACCTTCACAGAATGATTCCCAGCTAGATCCAAGTAGCCCACAAAGTGTTAAAGTGTAAAGGAACAGTGCAGCGACGAAATAAAGCAGCGCTTACCTATCCATGTTACGACTTACGATTGATGCATGAAATCTGCAGAACTGCTTGTTCAAGTAAAGACTCCAAGACATTATAGCCAGCTAGGCAGAAATGTTTTGGTTGTGTGTGCTCTTGAGTCTAGAGTGGAGACTGAATGCATTTGCTTGCTGTGCACAGAAATCAGAACACAGGCAGGCAGGCAGCGGCTTCACTTTTCTGATACCTCTTGCTACAACTACAACTGCATATGGATTTACAGATATTCTAGCAACCAGCACCACTAGAATATGAGTATTACGGCAAGAGACTAAGACAGATTGTTTTCTTTATCTGGTGACTAGAACAGAAACAGTGAAAAAAAGATAATTACATGGAACTACTAGCAGCATTTCTTATTTATCAGAGCCCATAGGCGGTACTGAAGTAACTTCTGGTGGTGTTCCTATTTAGTATCTGCAGAACCTTGACGTTCAATGGACTGACGAATCGAGGTGTCTTGAACTGACTCACGGCGCCACCAAGGCTCAGGAAGTGATCTAGGATCTCCTTGAAGGTTCCCCTTTTCAGAATCCGTAGCTCAAGTGGGCCAATGGTTCTGATCTTCCTTGAACCCATATATCCTGCATCAACAAAGGCTAGGTCCAAGCAATTTGCGCAGCTTCGTAAGACATCCTCACTTGCATCAGAACTCAGCTCCCAGAAGATGACATAGCGACCGGGGTCACTTGACTTCTCCACAAAGCTAGTGAAATCCACAATTTCCAGCTTCTCTGCATCCAAGAGCTTTGCTGCCTCCTCAACAGCAAGCTGGAGGTCTTGCTCGGTGTTCTTGTCGATGTTGATGCTCAGGACTAGGCTTCTGCGGCAGATGAACCGGAGCTCTGGTGTTGAGTTGTGGAAACCCGCTACCTTCACAATATCTCCTAGCCGGTAGCGATATAGACCTACAGCAACACAATCAAACTGGGATTGTAAAAGTATCCAGAGATATGATACATTTTTCCAGCAACTAATAAGCAAACTTTTTGTATTCAAATCATTTTTGTCTAAGGTTTACAATATCCAAATGTAGATGTATATACATTTGCTTGTGACATGCATTAGAACTAACCATCTGAGATAATAAAAGGATAAAGATGCGTTTGGTGACTCTACTAACATCAAAACATTGTGCAGCTATGGCTACCTAATACAATATGAACCAAACATTAACGGATAGGCTGCAGGGAGTGGACCACAAATACAAGCAATAATTACTCCATGTGCTTAAGGCATAACTTTGATGTATGCACCCCAACTGTGTGCTTTTTTGGTTCTGTTCAAAAATGCTTTTCATTGAAAAATATAAATAGTGTAAACCATCAGGCATCATAGTTATACTTCTGAAATGATATAAGGTAACATATCTGAATCAGGTGACTGAGGCAGAAATAGAAGATATAATTACCATGAATGCTGTACTTTGTTATAGGTAATCTCAATTCAGAATGGTACAGTAACAGAGAAGGAATGTACCTCCAAAGGTAGTTATCACAACTTCATAGATTTTGCCGACCTCAACTTCAGTCAGGCCAACTGGTTCTGATTCTATGTAATGAATGGAGGCACTATTCTCCGTCTCCTCCCCTTCTGGTTTCTCCAAACGAATGAACTCAAAATAACCAGTCTGGGGGAGAACAGCGTATGTCACCTGTTCAGGTGGTAGTGTGGGGTTTATATTAGCACCAACCCATCCTTCTGATGCACCGTAATCTGCACTTATCAGAGGCAAGTGCCCAGCATAGTGCCTCAATTTTTTTAGGTATGGCTCCATGGAACCTGTCATGATACCATAGACATACTTTGCATTTGGCCAGAGCGCTGGGATTACACCATACCAGTTGCTCAAGCCCGTGCACTTCTTATAGATCAAATCAGCAAGGTCAGGGTTGGGCTTCAGGATTTTTGTAACAGCTTCACGAATAGATGGCACTGTAACTTTCTCTGAGAGGACACCACCTCTTATGTCAGCACATAGATCTTCCCAAACCTCCTCAAATGTTTGAAATGCATGGACTAAGCTGTGAGCGAATGGCGAGAACACCTGATGGACCTCGTCAGAGTATATTAGCCCACAGAGCAAGTGACAATATAAGGACTGATTGAAGTCAGGGCCAAAAACAACTTCATCGGGACTGCAGCACTGAGACTGAATATCCTTCATCCCTTCCTTGTAACGTGCCCTCCGGTACAAGTTTGTTGTTGCAGTTGTAGCAAGGATGCCACCTTTTGTTACCACTTGCTTGCTACCATAGATAAACTGCAAGGCTTTTCCTCTTCCTATTGGATACTCACTGTCAAAAGAAATTGTTTTAAAATCTAGGATGTAAGAAATCCAAAACCATTCAATGGTTTAATCACATGCACATGACATTAATTAGAGCCTTATAAAGAAAATTTTATCTTGCACATGGTCAGATAAAACCCTGCTCATTCAGAAGTAGGAGCGTTAGTTGCGAAAAATGTAACATAATGAAGATGCTTACCGGTTCCTAAAGGCATATGAAGTCTGGAATATTTGAAGTGTGGTCTCAAGCAATTCGTCAGTAAATGGCAAGAACTTGGGCTTTCCCTGTGTTGTACCGGAACTGGATCCAAGGAAAGAACATCAAGTTACAAACACCGACATCCATAAACCAATATAAACAATAAGATGACACATTTTTCAAGCACTGTAATTACCTGAGGGAAAGGGAGGTGACGGGCTTCCCATTGAGGAGTGGGGAGCTATCACCATCAGCAATCCTATGGATGTATGGCTCAAGATCACTGTGCACACACAACGGGATGCAGGATTTGTAGCTCTCTACATCAGTCCTGCCATTGAGGCCGAACTCCTTCAGATATTCAGCATCTGCGTTCAACTCGAGGATCTTTTTCAGTGTGTCCTTCTGTACTCGCCCAGCATCGCGTGTTAACAACTCAAACTCGTGGATAGTCTCTTCACAGCTACAGATCGGCATCTTTACTGGCAGAATGTCGGATTTATCAACTGATATGTAAGTTGGATGACAAAGAACCAATCAAAAGTTGTAAGATGAAACACAACAATTGTACATGAAAGCAAGCACAATTTTGGGCTATTTTTTTAAATGCATAGCGCCGAAGGCATTGCTGCTGCGAATACACGGAAGTTAGAAGATAGTATGCATGGCAAAATACTACAGTTTGCAACCACTAACCGAGCTGAAAACACAAACCTGCGGCACAATTGGGAAGCCTATCAACAGAATCCAAGGAATCTATTTAAGGGTGCAGAACTCTACTGCCAAACATGAGAACTGGCCAGATTTCATTATCCTTGAAATGAAACGAATAACATTGCAAGCCTGGATAGCAGAGAGGAAAAGGGAGTAAAAGCTAAAAAAACAAAAGTAGTATACTCTACACCTACTAAAGCCAACAGCCAAAAAAATAGGGCTACTTTGCAAACCACCTTTAGAAACAATATTGACAGAAAAATGGTATAGTTAGACTTTGCTTTCCGACACAGCCTATACTAATGTAATCCGTCAGAATCCAAATAAAGTAAAGGTATTATTCATGAACCTTTTTACTAGATCGAGATTCGACTAGGCACAAGAATCGCAACATGAGACAAACATCTAAAAGCTGGATACATACTGACAGACTGAGATCTGGGGAAGCAAAGGATACAGACTGAGCGGTGGTGAGCTGTGCTGATTTTCACCGGTGTCGGTGGAACGAGTGGCGGAGATGGAAAGCAGCGTCAGTGCTTCTGTTGTACGAAGCCACTAGTCTAGAAGCAGTTAAATAATTGTAGATGTGGCTTCAGAGAGCGTTTGATTGGCTTCTACTAATTTTAACATGTCTTATTTTTTTTAAAAAACATAAAACATATCCACGTATCAGGTTTTTTTTAGAAAAATAACGTATCCACTATCCGTATCCGTCCGATACCGATACACGTATCCGTATCCGTGCTGCATAGCTGACAGGAGACGGAGAGCAGCTTGCTGGCTATCCAGGCTATATGATTCCGGTTGGTGCCAGGATTTGACAATACAATTATACGAAGGATAAAGCAGTATCCTAAAGAAACAGACATGAAGATAGCAACAAAGGCAGATGATGAGTGGAAATTTGCAAGCTTAAAGTTCACAACAGCAAAACTTTTTTTCGAGTAAGGGGGAAATTGCCATAACGGTCAACCAACCACTCTCTCGGCGCTCTCGGACTAGCAATACAACCTACCAGTGCAGTGACCACTCTAGCACGGCCTGCCCTTTACACATCAGTCTTACAAATATGATTTCTTTCGTGAAATACTGGGCCAATCATAGGGATGGCTTTTTTGTTTCCAAAAGGAAGAAGAAAAACACATTAGTGGTAGCTGTTTAGCTGGAATATTTAAGTAGGGTCCCTAAGGGACTAAGAGAAGAAAGAACATGGTGCTGTGGAGAGCGAGCAAGAGCCAAGAGAAGAGATGCCCAGAAAGGCATGGGCAGGGGGCAGCCTTCCGGGGCGGACCGAACAGGAATCCACCATGGACGGATGGAGCGCAGAGTAATTGCCGCACGGATCGCTGCACCTGGTACTAGCTAAAAACGGAAGCAAATCCACAGAGCTCACTGTTCAAGCATTGCCGCAGAGGGATAGAAACATGCGTGCTTTGACTGTTGAGTCCAGGTGCACCTGAGAGCGAGCGAGCGAACAATCTCTGGGAAGGCTGCTGTTTTGTTTAATACCTGTTATTGAAAAGAAAAAAAGCTGCTCCGGGAGGTAGCACGAAAGAGGCAAGGCAAGGAGGAAAGAAAGAATATATGCGGTGAATTTGTGCCGGCAATCCGCCATGGGGGCGAATCAGCGCGCGAGTCAACCTGCGATAGCAAAACGCAGGAGCCCTTTTTAGTAGAGCTGTCACCAGAGATTCTTGGAGGAATTATTTTTTTACCGCCAAGGGAATCAGCAGAAACCAAGCGGCTGAGGCAGCATCTACTCTAGCAGAATTCTAGAGGGGCCGGCCGACACCCACCGCCGTTTCTTGCGTGTGGCTTTTATAAAAGAAGAGAGAAAATCCCGAATTTTTTGGAGGAGAAAAGGTACGGAAAACATATACAGTAGCAGTAGCCAGTAGTAGCATGGATTATTGAAAGGGAGGAATTTGAGGCGCCATGAGCCCACAGGAAGAAAGGTTTGAATTTGATTGGGTACAGACAGTCACAGGCTCACAGCGACGAAACAGAAGAAGAAGCGAGAAACAAGTCAGTCGGTCGGTCAGGCAGTCATCGGAAGGGAAGGGCTGCTTACCGGGAGCAGCAGCGGCGCGGTCAGACGGATCTGCACTCTGGGTACCGGCGGCAGAGGAGAGCGGAGGGGGGAGCAGCGGGCGGCTGTGGCTCCGCGACGCCGACGCCTGTGGCTCCGCGCGCGCGGGCGGGCGAGGCAGCGGCCCGGTGGGCGGCGGGGAAATGGACAGGCGCAGGCGCGGCGCGAGGAGGGTTCGCCACGGGCGCGGCCTGGCTCATGGGACTGCGGAGGAGGAGGCCGGGCGGGCGGGCGAGTGCGGCGAGCGACGGGCGGAGGAGGAGGATTATAAGGAGGAGATGAACGACGGAACGGAACAGCACGGAGGTGGGCGGGGGCGGGTGGTGTGGTGCCGCGCCCGGTGGCGGGATTTCGGGTCTTTTCGGGGTGCTCCCTGCAAAAGTGCCCGAAATCAGAGCGGACGGAACGAGGGGATTTGACCCCGGTTGGGTTGCCCCACCTGTCCCGTCTCCTCCGGTTAGCGGGTCGGTCCCCGTTAACGGAGCCCGGGCCGGCGTGCGCTGTGCGGTTTGTCTGGTCTCCTCCTTGTTCCGGACTGACACACCGACCGGTGGGGCCGGACTGCACATGTATCTAAGCATGGCTTGGACGGAGGCAGGAAACGTTTGCAGGTACGACGGGGGGTGATTGGTTGCCCTTGCGCCGTTCGGAGCCCCATCTGGTACCAAGTGGTGCATTGTGGTGATGTTTGGTTCCCCTCCTCACACGTTTTGTCTGCTTCGTTTCATTTATCTGCTCCTCTTCATTCCGTACGCCTCCGTCTTCTCAATTTCATCTTTCCTCGCGAGCCGGAATGGCTTTATACACGCATGGTGCAGGAGCTCATGTGTCAGACACTCAAAACTTTAATACATGCGTGCAACCAAACACAATCTCGTTTCGTACTGAACCAACAACAAAGACAACCAAACATAACAAAGTGCATAATCTTATCATAGCTGAAAAGAGGCTGGACAGCCACTCCATCCCGGCTCGCTGACCCATGAGCAACCAATCACCCCCGACATGTCTCATGTCTTGTTCTAACACAACGTGTCCTAGAATATAGTACAAGTATAGGCAGATAATGTATAATAGTACTTTTGGCCAAGAAATTTCTCAAGGAGAAATACTCGTGTACCACGTACTCTTTAGTAGTACCATATTTTTCTTAAAAAAATGGAAAGACAGCACCGTGTGTGAAAGATCTGTTGCAAAAAAAAAAATTCTGAGCCTCCAACGCGAAGCTAGCTAAAGGACACTGACGCTCTTTGTAACCTCGTGCAGAACACGCTAAAGGACATCTGGCCTTGTCTATATCTCCCAATATAACGATTGTTCCTGGAATATGATCCCAACTGCTCATTTAATTCTATATATTAGTAAATCAAAGCTCTGCACGTATATATAGTCGGATATTTGCTTCAGCTGCGGCTGTGGCTTATGAAATAGCACCTATTGTACCGAAAACTGTCGCATGCACAACATAAATGAACAGAGTCAGAGTATCAATGCCAGTATAGTATGTTCTTATAGAGTAAACTCATGTCATGTACTCCTTCTGTTTCAAATTATAATTCGTCTGACTTTTTTAAACCTAAGTTAGACCTCTTGACTTATTCAAAAAATTTGTGAAAACATATTCAAATTTAAGTTATTCTTGAAGATCTTTTATTAATAAAGCAAGCCACAACAAAAGAAGTGATATTTAGCACAAATTTTTGAATAAGACGAGTGGTCAAACTTGGGGTCAAAAAAATCAAACGAACTATAATTTAGAACAGATTTAGTAATTGTTTAAACTTCACGAGTTAAGAATATAAGAAAACATGGCACCATACAGCAGCTCTTTATAATTAATCATTCCAAGAAAAAAAAGCAAAACAAAATAAATCACTCACAGCTGATCAGTTCAAGCAAGTAACCAACAGCAAATGGTTGGCGTCGTCGTCAAATGGTTTGTATGATGAGTGGTTGGGCTTTTCTCTTGCCGGATGAAGGAAAGATACAAGGCTTGGTAGTGGAGATGAAATAGCACTAACAATCAGAAACACATTGGGAGTGGTATGGTGTATTGCTGTGGGTGTGTGGCAATGAATGGGGTGGAAGAAGCTTCGCGCCTCCTCCCTGCCATTTTATAGGGTGCAACCGAGGATGCCTACGCCAAATAAAGAGCCTACATTAATTAATCTATTTTTAGTAATATTTTTGTTTGCCATATCTGCATTTTGGCTTCGAGCGTCCATGTACATAATTGCATTGGCATGTGTAGGGGGGCATGTTCATCAAGGTACTCTCATGCATATCGACCATGTTTGCTTCGCTAAAAAGCCAGGTTGAAAAGTATTGTTTCTTTGATTTATTGTGAAAAAAAACACTTTACTATAGCTGATAAGTTCAAGCGAACATGGCCTATCTAAATGAAGTGTTGTCCATTGTTTCCTCCTTACAAATTGATAGGTATATAGATGTTATCTCATCACAACTCGAATGACTTGTTTCCACCAAATTTTGTTTTTGTTAAGATATTATGACTACCATGTACGAGCCATGCATTTCTGGTGCCATATTTTCTTATGCCTTAATGTTTAATCCTTCATAACTTTTATGATATACGATATGCTGTAAAAGAGATGTCAAGAAATAGCAAAATCTCTCAAAACAAAACTTTTATTAGAATCATAACTTAGAGCAAAAGGCGTGTTGTAGATGTATTGTCGTTTCATTTGGGTTCACTTGCTTTGCACCCCCCCACCAATAGTTCCTTAGGCCTGTGCCAGGGCAAAGCTAGCATGAAAGTGAAGATGGTGCGCCACTAAAGCAAAATACCAAATTCACTTGTCCTATATGATGAACATTAGTCAATTTACTAACAAAAGTTTTGTGCGCCCTGGTGCATGCCAGTGCATCAGGAAATATCAAATGGCTTCACCTCTGGTCGTTCTACTTGTGTGAGTCGTGTGTGGTGACTTCCACTGAAGAAAGTGGAATGAGAATACCATATGATACGGTAACCGCAAGGTGTATACGTGAACTAAAGCACACCTTTAATTTTACCCATTTGGGAAGAATCACGGTATGTTGTTCCATTCTATTGAAGTTATTGGGCGTTTGGTACGCCAAACCACCATGCAATTGTTGGTAACTAGTATCGTATGCGCAACTTTCATACTACCAGCAAAAGAAAAGATCGTGAGCCACTACATATCTTCCGGATAATTTTTTTTCAATCCATTAATCAGATTTATATCCAATCATTACATGACGCCTAGTTTCGAAAGCGAGCAAAATCTGTAGATAAAGGAAGGCAATTACACCCAGATTTTACCAAAAATAAAACAATAAAGAGTGAATGAAATTACAACAATCGACAACCAGATCTAATCAAATATGCGACCTCCTCACGTGTAGCAACAATTCCACCATCAGCTTTACATGTGCAGCAGAGAGAAAATCTTGCAAAAAATAAGTAAATACTCATTTGACTAAAAGAGATACAAATGAAATGAAAGATAGAATAATCAACATTAATGGAAAATACATTGTTATGGTCAATACTGATGTTCAAGTTCACGTGATGAGGTCCATCTAAATTTGATATTTAAAAAATCATACAGTTACAATTTGCAAAAGCTACCATACTGACAAAACCGAGATGCCAATTACTAAACTATTTACTTATGTACATAAAGAATTAGAGATCAAAAGTACTGAAAAACTAACATGTCGAGATAGCTCCTTCCATTTTTTCTCGAACCTACTCACCAATACTTGTTCTAGCCGCTAATCAAGAAAACCGGTTTGATGCAATCACGATGCATGTAGAGAATAGTGAAACTGAGTATAGGCAATCTAATAGTAATAAAGCAGAATTTGTACTGACACAAAAATATTGAAACACTGACACTCAAAAAACATAATAGAGTATTCACTATTGCATGAAAGTGACCTTCACAATTTTAAGCATTCTGATGCACCATTCCAATCGCATCACAAGACTCGACTATTTTACTTCTATTTAGTTATCGAAACGAGTTTTTGAAAGTCAACCAAACTGTAAGTACAAAACACAAAAAATCGGTAGGCGAGGTTCAAACCTCTTAGTCATAGCTAGTCACGGCAAGAAGGGAAAAGAAACCAGTTGCAACCAAATCAAAGGATTTGACTAATATTGCTGTTCTTCTTACCTAAAAGACGGAAGCAGCCTAACATGGCCATGAAACCGGTACACCCCAACGCAAAAAAATAAGAATGAACTCAAAACTTATTAACTGAAACTAATAGCAAAGATTTACCTTGCTCTAACTAATAGGAACATTGACTGTGTAGCATGAAAGGGATATCAAATGTTTCTCTATAGAGTCAATCTTACAAAAAAAGAATCAAGATGTAACAACTCTAAGTAGGAATCAACTCTAAGTCGCCGCTATCCTCGCCACCTGCTTTTTTTGTTGTTTTGGCTCCCCTCATGACCTGTTTTTATTGTTTTGGTCCCCACTCATGTGTGAGTACAAAGATCTGTCTTAGTAGTTAAAGATGAGAAGCGAGATGAGAAGCAACTTCACTGGGAAGCCACTTCAACAAATGTTTTTGAACCTAGCCTAAAAATATTATACTTTGCCTTAGGCGCAAAGACAAAATTGTGAAGACTCATTTGGATGGGGTACATAAAATGTTAGGATGGATGTTTCTTTTGTTAAAAAGGAAAAGCTATTTTTCTTATAGCGCAAAAGAACCTTCCTTATTCGTAACGCTCTTTGTTGATATAATAAGATTAAGGCTATGAAAGCCAACAATGACAGTATGATATACATACGAAAAAATGTTTGGGCTATGTCTACATGAATTGTGCTACTTGAGCAGAGACCAAAATTAGAAGCCTCATCATTTTAATATAGCATTCCACTATGGTTAGTTTAAAAAAAATAGAGCATCATCAAGAGGTCATTTTGTGAAACCTGCTTGGTGGTTGACCAAAGAATTCAAAGGAGAATACGTAGCATATTTTTTTTTTAGTGTGATAGGTTGCATGGAAGTCTCTAAATAACCAATTTCAGATTTGAGCGACGATCTAAAATAAAGGAACTAACTAAAAAATAGATGTGAAGCATGTATTTTACCTTCAGCAGTTACACCTTGAGGCCGAGTGATCCAAGCGATCCGTGCAATGATGATTCACTTCTTTAGCATTTGAATAGAATTAGAGTTTTCGTAGTCTTTGACAGGAAAATGAAAGCACGCTCTCAAGTGATATATTGTTCACTCACAGATTGCATAAATCATTAGTTTGTGATAGAGCGCTTGTGTCTAAGCATTGGAGTAATAATCATATTAGACTCCAACAGTGATAATATTTTTATCATAACCAATGCAATGCAACTTATACGCAACAATCTTATGCGACGACCATAAAGGAAATTACCTATTAGTTGGCAAAATT